ATTCAGTATATGATTTAGTTCTCGAACATAACCACGAACTTCAATTGCCTTCAACATGCCATTTGATGCCATCACAGAGAAAGATATCATCATTGCAAGCATTTGAAATTGAAACAATGGATGATTCGGGCATTGGACCAAAAGCTGCACATGAGCTTGCTAGTCGGCAAGTTGGTGGTTCAGTAAACCTTGGTTATACACGTCGTGATCTCAAGAACCATTTAAGAACCAAGCGTCAAAGGGAGTTGATGTATGGCGAAGCCGGAAGTATGTTGAAGTACTTTCAGGACAAAGTTGCAGAGAACACTTCATTTCATTATGCCCTTCAGTTGGATTGTGAAGAACAAATAACAAATATTTTTTGGGCTGATGCTAAGATGATAATCGACTATGCTCAGTTTGGAGATGTTGTTACTTTTGACACAACATTTGGGACAAACAAAGAATACAGGCCCTTTGGTGTCTTTGTTGGATTCAACCATTTTAGATAGAGTCATTTTTGGAGCCGCTCTTTTGTATGATGAAACATTTGATTCTTTCAAATGGTTGTTTGAGACCTTTTTAGCTGTACATAATCAAAAACAGCCTACAACAATCTACACAGATCAAGATATTGCAATGGGAAAGGCAATTGAGGTGGTATTTACAGAAGCATGGATTGTGCACTTTTCATATAATGCAAAATGCTATCAAACACTTACCTCGTACCAAGAAAGAAGACACAAACATTTTGTCTGATTTCAGTGCTTGTATGTATGAATATGAAGATGAAGCAACTTTTCAGGAAGATTTCAGTACCATCAGAAGCAAGGTGCATAAGCAGACTTGGCTAAACAGTATATATAAGGTAAAAGAGAAATGGGCGGAATGCTACATGAGGAATGTTTACACATTAGGGATGAGAAGCACACAGTTGAGTGAGCTTAAATAATGACTTGAAAAACCATCTCAAGTCTGATCTTGACATTATTCGGTTTTTCAATAATCTTGAAAGAGTTATCAAAGGAAAACGAGACAACGAATTAGATGCAGAATATGAAGCAAGAAAAAAATTGCCTAGAATTAAAATGAGAGTTCCTATATTGGTGCAAGCAAGTAAGATTTACACACCTTGTATATTTGAATATTTTCAAAATGAATATGAAAGATCCATGGCTACATACATCAAGTCATCAGAACATAATGAATTCATTGTTGCAATTGAGGCTCCTGGTGAAGGGTCAACATTTGAAGAGGAGTGCAAAGTTGTAGGCAATTATGCAGAGCAATAGGCATTGTGCACCTGTGGACAATTTGAAAGGACTGGAATATTGTGCAGTCATGCTTTGAAAGTCCTTGATGTGATGAATATTAAGTCTTTGCCAAAGAGATATATTTTGAAGCGATGGACTCGAGAAGCACGAGTTGGTGCTATTGAGGACTGTTATGGCAAGATTGTCGTAGAAGATCCCAGATTGGAGGATAGGTGCCTCTTGAAGTTTCTTATTCACAAATTTCTTGGTATAGCTATTCGAGCTGCTGAATCTAAAGAGTGCAGCACACTAGTGGACAGTGTTCTAGAGAGCCTGAGGAAAGAAGTTGATGAAAAAACACCTAATAGTCAACTAGGTGAAGTTGCATCTGAAGAAGCAAACGGCTCTTTGCACACTGCACGTCTGAAGAAAAAAGAAACTCAAAAGTGTAGCACAAGGAGAAAGAAAAATTGGCTTGATAAGCAGCATCCCACCAAAAAGAAGGTACAAGTTGTACCTGACAAACAAAATATCTCGGTATGTTACTTACGAACTATTCAATTAGACTATATATGTACTATTCAATTAGACTATATATGTACTGATTATATATAGAGTAATATTTTATCTGGATGGTTTTGCTTAGCAGCAAGTGAAGGATTGTTCCATAGCACAGAACCAAATTCTGGTGGAGAAGACTAATGGAACGAATGAGAAGGGATCTGAAGAATATGGATGGATCAATAGCTATGCAGAACTACTGAGGGTATTCCACTTATATATACTAAAACTTATATATTTAGTGCATACTGTCTAGCAGCATCAATATTATTTTTCTAATTACTCTAATTCATTGTATAGGGTGATGGCATGGAGCAGAACATATTTGATACTACCTGGAATTTTGGGTTCAGTGCAAATTTTGATGGGAGATAGCTAGATACCTGGGTATCAAATTGACAATAACAAATCAAGCCATTGAACATTTACTTTTGAGAACATCCATTCATTTTTTTTCAATGCCACAGAAAATTTATGCTATGCATTCTTCTGTCAGTTTCTGTCAGCGTTTAGTACTGAACTATTGGCACACATGCAGTTACCTTTGTACATGTTTCCATCAGAGTATTATGTTTAATCTTCCTGAAACCTTTTCATCAGAGCACTATTTTGTAGAGGGTGTAAATGAACGATGCAACTTTTTTAGTGTTACACAACTTTTTTAGTGTTACACTTTGGAATAAGTGTAGACTTCACAGTGAGGCGATGCTCTGCTTATGATATTTGTAGAAGATGTGAAATGGGAGGCATATTGTTAGATGAACAGCACACACATATGTATAAACAGAGTCTGAAGCTTTCATGGCCTTAGCCATGTAACTGTCAAGTAAGTGGTGGGCAGATTGAGCAAAATCAGAGCCATCTAATGTAATCTGATGGCTTGATTTAATCGCTACAGCACCTGTGCAGTATTAACTGTACAGTAGACGATCCGTTTCCGTTATTATCATTAACATAGTCATAATCATGGAATATTCCATCCTATCGTCCCTTACCCACCAACCAAACAAACCCAAAAACTAACCATATCTAGGGATATCTTTTTAACCAACCACACCCTTAGACCACCGTAGCTCACGGCGCGCTATCGTTGGACGGCGTTGCATGGCCGTGGCATGTCTGCTAGGGGCACCGTGGACCGGTCAACGGAGGCAGGCGGCCTCGAACACCCGGTTCTCTCACACCTTGCGTGGTCGCGTCTGCCTGCTGCTCTACTACTGCACAACAGGTTTTCGAATTGGGGCTTTGCTCTGTTTTTATGTTGTCTAGAAAAGGAGAATAGACAACCTAGTCTGATTGGTCTATGGTCGCGGGGTGTCTGGTCTAGGTAGTCTCTCTGGTCGCCAATTCGTTCCCCCCTCTCCGATTCATCCCGTTCAGCGCTGCGAGGTGCAGAGTGGCAGCAGCGCAACACAGTGTGTGTGTTTGGGGTGGGGTGGGGTGGGGGGGTTGATCTTCTCAACTCCCTCCGTCCAAAAAAACGAACCTAAGACTAGACGTGATATATTCTAGTACAATGAATCTGGACAGAGGTATATCCAGATTCATAGTACTAGGATATGTCACGTCCAGTCAAAGTTATTAGGACCGGACCGGACGTGGAACCGGTGAAGCCCTCGGTTCACGGTTTGAATGGCTCAACCGGTTGGACCGCCGGCTCAACACGAGTCAAATATCTTCACATATTAATCAAAAACATCAACGAGTCCATAGCACAGTGGTGGGAGATTACTTCTTGTGACCACAGGTAGGCAATTTGAATCCTATGCGCGGCCCTTTTCCTCCTATTTTTCTCTTCTCACCCATCCCACGTTCCCACTGCCCTGTTACCGGCTTATTCCCCAATTTAATGTACATTTTTTCTCCAGTTCATACCTAAAACCGGCGGTTCAATCGGTTTTCCTCCGGTTTAATTACATGGCCGGTCTTTTGGCTGGACCGCACTGCCCTGTTACCACCTTATTCCCCGATCTAATGTATAGTTTTAATGTACATTTTTTCTCCAGTTCATACCTAAAACCGGCGGTTCAATCGGTTTTCCTCCGGTTTAATTACATGGCCGGTCTTTTGGCTGGACTGCACTGCCCTGTTACCAGCTTATTCCCCGATCTAATGTACAGTTTTTCTCCAGTTCATACCTAAAACCGGTAGTTCAACCGGTTTTCCTCTGATTTGATTACATGGCCGGTCTTTTGGCTAGACCGCGGACCAGCCGAGGCCAGTTTTCTCCAGTTCATACCTAATACCGGCGGTTCAACTCCGGTTTGATTACATGGCCTGTCTTTTGGCTGGACCGCGGACCGACCGAGGCCCTGGTTCGGATCGCCGGTCCGGTCCGGTTTTAATAACTGTGCGTCCAGTAATATATTGGTTTTTTATGGGACGGAAGGAGTAGTGTGTAATTTTGCTGGCATCGTAGAAAAATAATTCTTAAGGCCTGTTCAGATTGTAGCCAAAATAAACCTAACCAAGTTTTGGCAATGCCAAAATTTTGGCAAGATATCAATATTGCCAAAATGTTGGCAGGATTTCTTATGTATTGGCCAAATTCGGCCACAACTAAACGTAGACATTTTTTTTGGCAACTTTGCCAAAAAAAATAATATATGGTTGAAAATAGCATCTGCCCTTAGCATAAGGGAAGGGGCACGCGGCGGAAAAAAAAAAGCGTGCATCGCCGCCACCTGACTCCACCGCCGGCCTAAGCTAGTTTAGCGATTGCCATTCATAAGTTGATTTTCTTTAAGAAAAACGGAAAGGCATGGTTTCAGAAGGTCTAGTTGCTTCCAGAATCATGCAAAATATGGCAAGGGGTGCCATGCGTTCTATATGGCACTCAGCAAGTGCCAAGTGCCATAAAAAAAAATTTTCTGCCGCGTGTGCTCCTAGCCTTCTACCAACTCGCGTCTACAATGCGCACATGGATGAGTCAGTGGCATAGGGTCTAGGGAGCGACTTGTACGGTCATTATTCGATTAATCCCTCCTACAAGGGATCGATGAAGGATTTTGGTGGAGACATATCATGAGGGCCTTCATCCGAACCTGCCAAAACCACCAATGAGCTGTAAAACAACCAGAAGCCAAGTCTGGATGAAGGCGAGGCCCATGGCGAAGCACGAAGGCGGAGCCTAGGGCGAAGCAGGGACGCAACTTCGCACGGGCCCAACCCGAGAAGGCTGTTAGGAGGCCCACAACTTAATAGACATTGGTTACCCCTGTAAATGTCACCATCATAAAGGCATTCATATAATATACCCTATAAACAATAAACCCTAGAGGGTAACAGCTTATACTAGATCCATGTAATGAGGGATCCTAAAAATTTTACTAAGTCAAAACATCCAACCAAGTTTCATGTTCTTTGATGAGACGCAATTGTCATTTGACAGCAGATTTAGAGATAATTTATTTCATTTTTATTGTGGTGTTGAATTATTTTTTCTCAATCCACTCCGATCCCTCGCTCTTAGGGATTAATCGACGCCACTTTCTTGCTGTTGGATGCATAGGAATTGCATCGAAGATGAGGTCCTGACGGGATGAGGCTGGGTTCAAGAGTTCAAGCAAAATTTAGTTCAACTAGGCCTTAGGTAAAATGCTCAATGAATAGCAAAACACAAAACAGCAAGGTCTTGAGAAATCTAATGATATAATTTTGTTTTGAACAAAAGGTTTTCCTTCCCTATGCATCACTCCTTTTCTTTCTAAAATTAAACTACATTGCTACTATCCACTAATCATCAGCTAGAACGAAATTGCTTATATTGCCCTTTAAAGCTTTATATTGCAATGAATGAATCTGATTCAGAAAAATGTCGCTCATCCCCAGATTAGCTACAAATCGGACTGCACCACAACTTATACCTGTTCATATAGGGTGGCAAATCATATTAGTTTTGCCTGGATCGGTAGTTCAAAAAAAAAATCACAACTTGTATCCCCGAACACAACCTCCCAAATTTGCATTCTCTAGAAACTTCATCACAGTTTACCTTAAGTATTTGCTAGTGACAAATTTCATCTTTTTCCCAGCAGCGCATACCACCTAAACCCTTTGAAGATAATGAGCCAATCATTGCCAAAAGGAAACTAAGGTCAGTGCATCAACAACAGAAAGAATAAAAAGCTGTGCAGTCATTCATGCAATCCTTAATATGAATGGCAAGGCACGAAAAAAAATATATACAGCACTCATTCGTGCAATCCATAACACGAATGGCAAGGAAGAAAAGCCACAGCTACAATTTAGTTTCAAGAGAAGATGTTAAGCGCAATTTGCATACCATGCAAATCTATGATTAACATCTAGTAAAAAAATGCTATCCCTATTTGCAGCTCTGAAAGAGACATATATATTCAGTACAAGGTCAGGTAATGGGAGTCTCTATCACTTGACAGTAAATCGTAAAAAGCCACTAAGTTTGATTGCTAGATAATTTCAACTCGTGCAACCTAAAGTTATCACTGGGTGTGTATACAGAATTGCAAGAAATATAGTAAGCCAGACAATTGATAGTCCAGCAGCCACCACCTTTTCCCATACTAACTTGAGCCAGAGGTGCGAAGTTTTCTGCATTGCAGAGCATGTCTTGCACCAACGGGTCTGCAATCTACATGCACTAAGAATTAAGGAGCCCAAGATGACGATGGCAACGGACTACTAAGAATGAAGGAACCCATGGTGGAGATGGCAATGGACTGCTTGGTGATGGATCTGTTGTTCTGCAACAAATCGATCCATCCTGACCATGCTGAAACCGAGTGTTATCAGCTGAAGGATCATTGCAGTGGGTAAAACATTTTTGACCATATCGATTGCTCCATTGCAGGCACAAACCATTAGAGGTGGGGGAAAGGGAAGAAAGTATACCTGTCTTTTTTTTTCACCAAATACCAGCAGAGTGACGTCAAAGCAAAAATGGATACAAGCAAAGATCCACTTGCTAGATGCAGTGCTCCCAGAATGCACTCAAGAACGAACAAGTTCCAGGCAGATCCACTCGCTAGATCCATTGCTCTTGAGGATGGCAGCAAGAACAATCAAGTGGCTGGGACATGAGGGGAGGTTTACTTTGGAGAATTACCTCTGCACATCCGTCCGGACCGCCCAATTTCCTGAGCCGGGATCAACCACCTCGCCGTCAACCTCAAGCTCTAATCTCGTGAATGGGGTGTTGCGCTGGGACCAGATTAGTGGCGTCCCATCGATTTCCAGCCCTAGCTCATGCCACCGCGCCTGCTTTCGGCTGCCGCCGCCGCCGTTCCCCCAAGCTCCTTCTCCCTTCTCCTGACAAGCTCGCCAGATCCAGCGAGAGGCATCGGTGGGCGGGCAGTTGCGGCGCGGCGAGGCTCAAGCCACGAGCCACCATAGCAGGGGAGGAAGGGGAAAAGGCAGCGGCAGGGAGAGCAAGGGAGGATGGCATGGGAACAGTGGCTGGCTAGGGTTTCGTGGGAGGGGGATTGGCCAATTGGGTATGCTCATTTTTTCAAAAGAACCCCTTTCTGTTCGATGTTTTCGAGCGCAGTTCTATTTTTGGATTTTTCTCTTCTTCATATAAAGTTTTCCTTCTTGTGAAGGGCCTACAACAAATTACTAACAATGTAAAGGGTCTTTTTGCAAAATCTCCACCCTCATCATCCTACCGTTCAATGAAGCCGATCGGACGGCGAGCGGGCACAAGGAGGGAGGCTGCCTCCCAGGGCGCGGGGGCGACGTGGATAGTTCCGCGTGCGAACACGCCGCCCTGAATCGCTCTCAGCTCGCCAATTCAGGGCAGGTTTTAATTTAACCGATGAAGTAATGAACAGCTAGCCTAGTGAAGTACCAGGCTGAAATTAATTATGGCATCGCCACAGCATGCATATTAACTCTCTCAAATCATAACACACTCAGGCACTTTGTTCATTCGCGCAATCTTCAGGACTAACGTCATTTGAATTAACACGCCCCGCGATCTGATGCGGTGGTGGCCGCGTAAATTTCATGCGTGCGTCGCCGCCGCCGGCCGCTTGCCCGCTGCCGCCTCATTTCTGTGTGCGTCGCTGTCGCCGGCCTCGGCGAGCCTAGCAATTTCTTCGCTAGTAAAACTGGAAACGTAGAGGTTTAGTTGTCAGGTGTCAAAATCTTGTAATGGATGCCATGCATTCTATATGGCATGGGGTGCCATTGAATTTCAGTTTTTTCCGCAGGCACCCACCGAGAAGCTTAGCGCGATCAATGGAACCACAGCCCGCGCACGGGCCCCTCTTGAAGCCGCGGCCTCATCTCGGCGCGACTCAACGGCCCGGGAGGCTGGCGTGTTGGGGTGGCCTGGCCCATCCGTGCGCCCGGGGCACCAGCGCGGCACCGGCCGAAAAAGCGGCTGCCCACGCATCTGCACGCAGAAAATCCCAGAGGAATAAGTTCACCAGAGGTCCCTCAACTTAACAGCAAGATTTTCTGAGATCCCTCAACCATAAAACCAGAAATGTTCGCTCCTAAACTCATTCAAACCATTCACCGGAGGTCCCTTGGCAGTATTTTTGCCTGATTTTGGGGACGTGGCATCCTAGTCAGCAAAAATAATAAAAAATTTCGTGGGGCCCACATGTACGTGAGAAAAAAATATAGGATCAACCATCTTAGTCAGCAATCTTCTCTCTTTTCATTTTTTTTCTTCTTCTCTTTCGGCATGAGTGATAGCAGATATGACGAGCAGTGAGAGCAGTGAGGCAGAGGGGCGGCGTCGGCGATCGTAGAGGGCGAGCGGCGGCGTGCGGCCGGAGCAGGCGGAGGGGCGGTGTCGGCGGCTGCAGGCGATGGAAAGCGGCGGACACGCGCGGTCGCAGAGTGCGAGAGGCAGCGGGTGACGGTGCGCGGCTGCAGCAGGCGGAGGGCGGCGTCAGTGGGCGAGCGTGGCTGTGGCGGTGGCAAGCGGCGGGCAAGCGGCGGCTTTGGGCTTGGGCGGAGCAGAGGGGCGGAGGACGCGGGGTGCGCGACGACGCAGATGGGGAGCGGCAACAGTGTGCGACTGGAGGCAGGCGGAGCGGCGACGTCTGCGGTGGCAGGCGAGCGTGGTTGCGGAGCATCGGCGTTGGCGGGCGAGAGGCTGACGGCGGAGTAGAAAGGCAGCGACGGGCGAGCGCGGAGTGAGACAAGGTCACCGCCGCCGCTCGGAGGGAGGCGAGGTCATCGCCTTGGGTGCCTCTCGTGCTGCTTTGACGGCGGGAAAGATGGGGAAGGGGAGGGAGAGGACGCGGATGCGACAGAGGGGAACGACGCGAGTGCGCACAGCGCCGTGCCCAGGACGAGGAGGGGGAGCGGGCGGAGAGACGAGCGCCAAGGCCGCCCTGCCTGACAACGACGATTACGAGCTCCCAGCGCCGCCACACCCGCTCGGGGACGACGACGACGCCGCCGACCGCCTGCCACCGCCTCCTTCCTCTCCCGGTCTCGCCCGCCGTCCGCTCCGCCCGCAGCCCGCCGCCGCTATGCCCGCCGCCTGCATCCGCGCTCGCCCGCCGTCCGCTCCGCCGCAGCTCGCCGCCGCACTATTGTCTCGCTCGCCCGCCACCCGCATCCACGCTCTCCCATCACTGCTGCGCCCGCCACCGGCCTGAAGAAGAGAAGAGAGAGGAGATAAAAGAGAAGGGAAGGAGAAGAAAAGAGAAGAAAAAAGATGTGCAGCTGACATGTGGGCCCCACGAAATTTTTTAATTTGTTTTTACTGACTAGGATACCACGTCAGCAAAACCAGGCAAAAATACTGCCAAGGGACCTCCGGTGAACGGTTTGAATGAGTTTAGGGGTAAATATTTCTCGTTTTGTGATTGAGGGACCTCAAAAAATCTCGTTGTTAAGTTGAGGGACCTCCGGTGAACTTATTCCAATCCCCGAGGGCGCCGCTGCGGAGCCTCGACCCAAGAGGAAAAAGTCATCGCTACGCTCTGCGCTCCGCTGGCTGTCCGTCCGTACGCGCAAACGAGCCCGGTGCGTCGTTGGGTCTAGGTTGGGCCTGCTGGCAGCGCTGTGTGTGTATGACTTGTGAGGAGGCGTGGTCCTCACAATAATCTGTTGCGCTGCAATTTGAGTTGAGACCTGAACGGGGTTTACTGTTTCCAGATGCGCTGGCAGCTTTCTTTCTCTATCAAGCCAGGGATCTTTGCCATGCTATCTCCGCGCTTCGCTTCGCTTCGGGGGCTGCGCCGAGCGTGCGTCTGGCCTTGGGTCCTTGGCCCACGTTGCCTTGCTTGTTGGCTGCGGCACACCAATGCTGTTGCTGGTCAAATATATACGTGTATGTCTATATTAATAGCGATACATCCATGCTGTTGGTGGTGGCAAGTTAGGAGCGACCTATCAGTGATATGAATCATAGAGATGATTGTATTACATACTATGTTTACATATTTATCCGATATTGTTCCTTGAAATAGATAACTTATTATTTGTTAATGAATATGTGATTCTTTTATGAGACTCTTTATATTGTATATTGCTATTTCTAAAGGATCCCTGATCAAATATTATATGTGGAACAAACATGTTTATATGATCAGCACATGTATTAATTGATAATTATGTCTCATAAATCGTGGTATAGAGATACCAAATTAATAATGTGGACACATGATGGGGAACATGTTGTTGGATAGACCCAACATGAGACACTGCAAGAGTCATATGTGTTGTGTCATCAGTGATCTTATTTAGTGTTAGTGTTAGTATTGAATCCTTAGACCTGAGATTATCATGGTTCTCAACATGTGTAGTAGCATACTTAGGGACTGCTAAACGCTACTCCGTAATTGGGTAGTTATAAAAGTAGTTTCCGGGTATGCTATAAAACATGTAGTGGGATATGAATAATCAATATGGGATTTGCCTCTCCTATGAAGAGATATATCTGGGCCCCTCGATGTTATAAATTATGGAAGTGCATGGCCATGCCAAAGGTGATTGAGGAGTCAATCACAAATTATATAATATATCATAAGTTCGAGTGAATGATTGAGCTATTAGAGGATGGCACATATCTAGCCTTGAGCTTAATCGATATTGTGAGGCAAAAGGGTTCATACAAGTTTACACTAGAGGTTCAACCGATATGATCTTTATGTATGCCCGGTGGGTCAATACGTTCTGCTAGGGGCCGCTGTTGACACGTGGACCGAAAAGGAATTTTCGAGTTACAGCCTAGTGTATACGAACCTGCAGGGTCGCACGCTTAAAGGGCCAGAATAAAGGGATTGGATGGAGATCCAATATGCACTCAATCAAATAGGGATTCGAGTAGGACTCCTATGGGCCTCGAAGGCCCAGTCGCGGATCCTATATATTCATGAGGGGAAGTGACCGGCGGAATTAACACACCACGTGAAACCCTAGCCGTCACTGCCATCCCCGAGCAAACCCTAGCCGCTCGTGGGTGCAAGCACATCTGCACGTGGCGTTCCGTCCCTGTATGTGTGGACACCGGTAGAGGCGCCGCTGGTTTATGGTGCTGATCGGCATGGGAGTACGGTGAGGAGAACGCAAGAGGAGGAGAAGGTCGAGCCGGTGCGATCGACTACTTCCTCTACGTCGACACGCGCTACATTACGAGGGTTCCTTCGCCTTCTTAGTGCCTTCTTCCACCGCGCAGCGCGTTCCAATACTTGCATGGTTCATGGTTTACGCGGTAGAAAATTTTGATTTATGCTATCGTAGCCTACGCGTATCCCAACACAACCGAGCACTTATAGTTAATAACAAGAGCAAGACCTTCCTACTAATATAGGATGGCTGTTGTTCGTAGCTACGCGGGCGTGCATATTCATCGGTCCTTGCACCTTATTTCATGTGTAATGTTATTCCGTTTTAAGATAGATATTAATGGTTGTTCATTAGTGAATGGAGCCATACCTGAGATGTTAATGTAAGAATGTGGGTCCTCCATATAAGGGCATGTATATAGTGAGGATACTATATAGCCTATACCTTGTTGATCCGTATATGCACTACTATAGAAAGTTAGAAACAATATTTCCAAACAGCTAAAATATATTTTTGTAAATGGGTGTAGCATCTGCCAACCCCTAGCTGTATGTAGAAATAGGGATTTTTCAGGTGGGCAGCATAACCACATGCGAAAACAAAATATTGGCACGGGGCATGTTATTGCCACCTAACTGTATTTTTTTTCATGCTAAACGAAACAAAAATCCCCAAAATTGAAATCCTATAAACCCTAGTTCACCTACCGAGTTGGGTTTACTCACTTTTTGGGGTGGCTCGGTTGCGGCGGGAGTGGTGGGAGTTTGCTCAATCATGTCGAGATTCCTTTTGTCACACTGCACAACCATCTTTTCGTTTCTCGGTATTGTGATTATTCCTTTAGGTCCTGGAACCTTAATCCGCTAGTATGCGCAGTGCGAAGCCCCATGAATTTTGCAAGTGCCGCTCTTTTGATGATAGCATTGTACGCAGTGTGAAACTCTGC